ACGTCTTCCGTCTAAAATTGATCAAACATTCCATCAAGATGTATTGATAATTACTGGAGATTAGAATGCAAAGGTTGGAACAAAGAGGAAGGATCAGTAGTTGGAAAATACAGCCTAGGAGATAGAAATGATACTGTAGACTGCATGACAGTATTTGCAACACCAGTAACTTACTCTTTGCAAATAAATACCTTTTTAGAACAACATAAAAGGCAATTCTACATATGGACCTTACCAGATGGAATATATAAAAATCAAATTGACTACATCTGTGGGAAGAGACAGTAGAAAGCTCAGTATCATTAGCCAAAACAAGACCAGGGACAGACTGTGGAACAGAACATGAACTGCTTATACACAAGTTCAGGCTGAAGCTGAAGAAAACTAAAACAAGTCCACAAGAGCCAAAATATGACCTTGAACATATTCCACCTGAATTCAGAGATCAACTCAAGAACAGATTTGATATATTAGACACTGATGACCAAAGACCAGCAGAGTTGTGTGCTGACATCAAGAACATCATACAGGAAGAAAGCAAAAGGTCATTAGAAAGACAGGGAAGGAAGAAAAGTCCAAAATGGATGTCAGGGAGACTCTGAAACTTGCTCTTGAGCATAGAGATGCTACAGTGAATGGAAGAAATGAGGAAGTAAAGAGTTGAATAGAAAGTTTCACGGGCAGCTTGAGAAAAGTACAGTATTATAATGAAATGTGTAAAGAGCTGGAGTGAGAAAACTAAAAGGGAAGAACATGCTCAGCATTTATCAAGCTGAAAGAACTAGAAAAATGTCTAGCCTTGAGTTGCAATATTGAAGGTTCCTATGAACAAAATATTGAATGATGCAGAAAGCATCAAAAGAAGATAGAAGGATAGACTACTACAAGAACAAGCAAGTTGTTCCCCTGGGAGCCATCAAGGCAAGTGGTCAGGTCCACCCAAGGCAAACCCCCTTCCAAGACTAAAACAATGTGAATACAGGAGCAGGCATGTGGTCATGCTGCTGACTACACTGGTCACCTATAAGGGGAAGTGAGGGAAAAACAGCAATGAAGTTGCGAGCTAAGTCCAACCATATTCAACAGACTCCTGTTAACTTGGATTGAGACCTGGTTGGCCAGCAGTATGACAAGACCTGGGGACTCCTGGGCCCAGAGGCAGGGACATGGCCCCAGAAGACTAGAGCAGAGAGTGAAGCATCCAGCTGATATGAAGTGAGGGGAGGTGAACAAAAACACCCACACTTGCAGATAGTACCTATTTGACCTGGCTTCAATGGCTGGATGATCAGAACACGACTAGAGGAAGAAAGAAGAGGGAAAAAAAAGATTAATCCATTACAATTTGATGAACTTGATCTATGCTTGTGGGTGCAGTAGGGCAAAGGAGTGAACATATCTTTACAGTGAGGATCATTCCCACCCCCTTGGTACAAAGGGTCGACAAGTATGGGGTACTTGGACATTGGCTACCCGAAATGGCGGGGGTGGGGTTGGGGGGGTGGCTAAAAAGGCAAGAAGTGACTGGCTTACAAGCTTTCAATAGGGAACCTAGTTTCAGAAGGTACAGGGAAAGGTAGACTCTCCACTGAGTTGTTCCCAACCTGTCTAGATGGGGCTGATAAAAGGTGATGGGGATAATATTCCTGTGGTTCAATAGAGAATGATTGCTATCAGGACTGACTGTGAGTGTTATAAAGGTAAAGGTAGCCGTTTTGTAACAAAAGGAGGGGAGTGGTTGACTTTGCAGTCCAGGAGCAGAGATCCCTGGAACCATTAAGGGAGAAGAGCGAAGTGCGGGACACTATCCAGAGAAGCAGCGACACTAGGGATGGAGGCAAAGATGATGATGTGGAGAGATGGAGTGGCTGGGGACTCTAGAATCAGGGAGGGAGAGGGGTTGCGTGCTGGTGGCCGGGGGGCAGGTATGCGGGGTGTACCCTTTGGTTGTTTGATGATGATGCATGCAGGGGATTGTAATCATTGCAGTGAAATGAAATATGATAGGATGAATGTAAAGACAATGTTCTCCCATGTAAACTATCACATAATTCACAATAAAAAACTTAAAAAAAAAGAAAAAAAGAAGATAGAAGGAATACATAGTGTCACTGTACCAAATGAAATGGTTGCTACTCAACCATTTGAAGAGGTAGTAAGTGATTAAGAACCAGTGGTACTGAAGGAAAAATTTCAAGCTGCACTGAAGACATTGGTGAAAAACAAGGTCCCAGGAATTGACAAAATACAAACTGAAATCTTTCAACAAACTGATGCAGCACTGGAGGTGCTCAGTCATCTATGCCAGGAAATTTGTAAGACAATTTTGTGACCTAGCTAACAGATTGGAAGAGATCCATATTTGTGCCCATTTCAATAAGAGGTGACCCAACAGACTGTGGATATCATTAATATCACATGCAAATAAATTTTGCTGAAGATAATACAAAAATGGTTGCAAGAGTACCTCAACAGAGAACTGCCACTAATTCAAACTGGTTTCAGAAGAAGAAATGGACTAGGGATATCACTGCTGACTTTAGACAGCTCTTGGCTGAAAGCACAGAATACCAGAAAGATGTTTACTTGTCCTTTATTGACTACTCAAAGGCTTTCAACTGGGTAGAGCAAGAAAAACTACGGATAAAATTGTGAAGAGTGGGATTCTAAAACCCTTAATTGTGCTAAAGAGGAACCTGTACATAGACCAAGAGGCAACTTTGAGAATAGAAAAAAGTTATGTTGAATGAGTTAAAATCAGGAGAGATGTGCACTATGGTTGTATCCGTTCTCCACATGTATTCAGTCTGCATGCTGAGCAAAAAGTTCAAGAAGCTGAATTATATGAAGAAGAATGTGGCATCAAGATTAGAGGAACACTCATCAACAACCTGCAGTATGCAGATGATACAACCTTTCCTGCAGAGAGTGAAGTGGACTTAAAATACTGATGAAGATCAACAGACTACAACTGTCAGGTTGACTTGCACCTCAGTGTAAAGAAAATGAAAATCCTCACAACTGGACTAATAAATCACATCATGATAAATGGGGGAAAAAAGATTGAAGCTGTCAAAGACTTCAGTTGACTTGGATCTACCATCAACACTCATGGAAACAATAGTCAAGTTGATTCCAAATCACAGTAACCCCATGTGACAGAATAGAACTGCCCCACAGGATTTTCTTGGCTTTAGTCTTTACTGAAAGATTGCGAGATCTTTCTCCTATGGAATAGCTAGGTGGTTCTAAGTGCTTATCTGTTAGTTATTTGCTGAGCGCTAAAACATTTGTGCCACCTGGACTCCTTCCTCTTCCTTTAGGCCTTACCTAATCTCCCTAGTTTAAGGAGCTCTGGTAGTTTAGTGGTTACTAATTGGGATACTAATCTCATGGTCAGTAGTTGGAAACTACCAGCTGTTCCGCGGGAGAAAACTGAGGTTTTCTGCTCCCGTAAAGATTTATAGCTTCAGAAACCCTCTACAGTCACTATGAGTCAGAACTAACTCCACAGCACATAACAGCAATCTCCCTAGGTTAGCATGAAAGAACAATTAAGGAGACAATCTGATCTTATTATATCTTTCTAAGTGCTTTTTGTACCATTTACCCAGAGTAATAAAATCCTATATTCTGCCAGTCAAAACTTATTAATGTGGACACAAATTCAAGTATACATATTTAGAAAGGAAATTAAGAGAAACAACTATTTAAATAACATACATGAATCAATTCAGTATTTTTCTCATAAAGTAGATGCTAAGCACCTGTTGTGTCTTCAGTCTTTCCACAATAAACATGATACTAGTATTTGAAGAGGACTCCTGGTATGGCACTGTAGGATTAGCATTGAACTAAAAATCACTAGGTCAGCAGTTCAAATCCACCTGCTGCACCTGTGGGCTTGCTATGAGTTGGAACCAACTTGAGGGCACTTAATAATAATAAGTATTTAAAGACAGATTAACAAAACAACTGATCTGGTCCTTAAATAAGAATTAGCAAACAATGCTGTATTTCAATTTTGTAGGGAAAATTGGTTGGGCTGGATTTACTAGCAAGGTATACTAAGGACTCTGAAAAGTTCATGGAAAAATTCCATTATTTTTTAATTCCATTTCCCACAAACTTTTTGAAACCTCCTTTATTACTTTCCAATGGCTCCTGAGCATGGCTATATATACAAGCATCCCTTGCTATGCAGGGGATAGGTTCCAGGGCTCCCATGGGTATACAAATTCACAGAAGCCCAAGTCCCTTATATAAAATGGCATAGTATTTGCATATAATCTATGCTCATCCTCCGGATTGCTTACAACACCTAATACGACGTAAATGCTATATAAATATCACTTTATGCTCTCTCTTAGGGACTGCTTTGTTCTTTTGTCCCCTGGATATTTTTGATCCAAGTTGAGTTGCATATGAAGATGCAGAACCTGTAAATACAGAGAGCTGACAGTACTGGACGTTAGGCATGACCTGAAGGATCTTCAGGGGCTAAGTTTGACTATATTCAGTTTTGCTCATTTGTTTTTCAGTCATCTCCTCTCTCTTTACTTTATACTGAATTTTTCACAAACACTCATATTGAGAATTTATTCTAGCAGAAGATTTCTCTCTCCTCTAGTCCTGAAAATACCAGTTAATTTATGCCACATTTATGTTAGTGGTCCATCTATAATGAAGCTGTGTGATTTGATTACAGGTATATCATAATATCATTAGAAAGACAACAATCACATATGCTCATCTCTTAGCTCCTAGTAACCGTATTTGGTGTTATAATTTAACACACTAACAGGAAACAGATTGCTCAACTAAGGGTAATGTATGACTTCTTCAGTTAAGACTTGCACTCTTTTAAAAACATACAAATAAATAATAATCATTATAACAATTTATAAGATTAACATAAAGTTCTAATTTATAACGTATAGTTAAAAGAAAAATTCTTAACATGCTAATTGATACACATAAGTCCAGTTAAGCAAACGTACTCATAATCCAGCTTTTTTCGTAAGAATATGTCTTGGGTCTCATCTTCCAAGTGCTGTAGGTCAGCATAGAGGTCTGTAGTTCCACTGGCATTAAAATTCCCTTGAATATTTTTACTGTATTGTTGAAGACGCTTCCATAGATCATTATAAAGACGTAATAATTTAGGGTATTCACCTTCAAATGCTTGTTTCAAAAACATAGAAGCTGCCAATCAAAACAATAACAAGGATTAAATAAAAGATAAAACAATAAAATACAGTAAATAAATGTCGTGGGTTTTTTAAATACAAAGATGATATTACACATAGCCCATACTTCAGGATATATCAAATACGTGTTCCAAGGAGACCTTTAAAATAATAGTAATTTTAGTAACAAACTTTCTCCAAGACTATTCACAGCATATGATATGTGGATTTTAAAATCATCAACTATATAGTTTAAGATGTTAATTCACTCTCTCAACAATTGATAAAGCAAGCCTATAGAAAAGCAATCATAAGCATATATAAGATATGGACAATAATAATATCCAGCTGACTAACTGACATTTGTAGAATGCTCCATTTACAAATAGCAAGGTATATTCTTTTCAAGAGCACATGAAGCATTTATTAAAACACACAATATTTGGTCACAAGAAAAAAGTCTGAATAAATTTTAAAGTTTTCAAAGTCATATAAAGCCAAGTTTGGGGCTTAGATTAGAAATCAATAAGATAATGATATCTTTAAAAAATTCCAAATACTTGGAACTAAATGAAACAATTCTAAGTAATCCATGGATCAAAAGAGAAATCCCCCAAATTATAAAGTTTTTAAACTGAATGAAAATTGAAAGTACATTATTTCATAATCTGTGCTATTTCATTAAAGGAGTACTTGAGAACATTTTACATAAATGCTATTATTAGAAAAGTAGACAGGGAGACTTTCAGCAAGATGGTAGACTAGGCAAACGCACTACAGGGACCTTCTATGACAAAGATACCGGAGAACAAATAAAATGGACACATATAAAAATTCTGAACTTCAGAAGAAACTTTAGAGAGGTGGATGGAGTACTTGCTGGGAGAAGAGACCAAGTATGGATAGCAAGAAAGGGAGACTGGTGAATGGCTGATCAAACTCCGTTTAGTCATCTTGAGAACAGGTTTGGCTGCAGAGAGAGGCCTGGCAGGACAGAATGTTATGGGCGATAGGAAAGGTGTGATTTCTTCTTTTCACCCACTCCCCTGTAGACCAGAGCTACCACCCTCACCTAACCCAGCACAGATCTTGCTCTCTGGATGTTTGGAGCCATGTGGTTGGGGGCCAGCTGCACTGTTTTGCTGTATCACTTTGGTGCTTAGACTTAGGTGGGCTTGGTTCCAGACCTATACAACTTGCAGTGCCACCAGACCAGCATTTAACCAGTCACCCTGCCCCTTGCTGTTCTGTGGTCCTGACAGACACTGAAACCAGCTCCATCAAGAGACCTCACAAACTTCCAAGACTGAGTGCCCTGAACAAAGATAACATTGAGGTCAATAGGAACTCCATTTAGGGTCAGGAACTCTGCTGTCACATCCCCTTCACAACCACCTCATAAGTTCCTTGAATTACAGTAGCCCACCACAGATTTCTCCCCTTTGGGTCTAACAACTGTACCGTTTGCTTTTACAAATATGATAACCCTAAAATGCCCAGGAGACAATAAACAATTTTAGCTCACACAAAGAAAAAAGAGAGAATGGCTCAAACAAATGACCAAGATGCAGAGTTAGAAAACATTTCTGAAGAAGAAAACGTAATGGAACTAACTGAAAAGTATTAAAAAATAATGTTAATTAGTTAGTTTCAAAGGATTGATATAAAAACCAAGGAAAACACAATAAAAACTTTAGAATAATTCAGGAAAACACTACAATAACAAAAAAGACAAATAAACATCTTGAAACAGTACAAAACCTGAAATTAGAAATCCAGAAGATTAATACTGATTTTCAGAAATGGACAATATATTGAAAGGGCAAAGGAAAGAATATAAAGCAATGGAAGCCCGATAAGATTGAAGATCAGTCTCTCAATAATAGTATGAAAGAAGAACAATCAGAAAAAAGAATGGAAAAATCCAAAGAAAGTCTAAGAGTTATGTGGGAGCCATGAAGAGAAACAACTACAGGTGACTGGAATTCCTGAACAGGAAGAGACAAGCACAGAGAGAACTGTTGAACAGTTGCTGGAAGAAAACTTCCCTAACATCACGAAAGACAAGAAGTTCAGCATACAAAAAGCTGAACAAACCCCAAACAGGATAGATTAAAAAAGAAAGTCACCAACATATAACATAATCAAACTTTCCAAAATCAAAGACATAGAAAGAATCCTGAGAGCAGCTCAAAAAAAAATTAAAAGTTAACTACAAAGGAAAACCAATAAGACAGCAGATTTGCCTAATACAATACGTCGTTTGATTTCTTGACTGCTGCTTCCACGAGTGTTTATAGTTGATCCAAGAAGAACGAAGTCCTTGACAACTTCAATCTTTTCTCCATTGATAAGAATGTTGTTTATTGGTCCAGTGGTGAGGATTTATGTATTCTAAAGGTTACCAAAAAAACTTCTTCAACTTTTCGCCATCCCTTTCCTCTATAAATACTTCTAGTCTTCAATTTCTTACCAGGGACAAGTGTCTATTGCAGACAGTAATATGTCCATGGGGAAAAACCAAGCAAGGGAAGGGCAGTGGAGTCCTGGTGTGGTGCTGTAGGATAAGCACTTGATTGCAATGTTGGTTTGAACCGCAAGGTTGGCAGCTCAAATCCACCAGCCACTCCTTGGAAAAATAACAACAACACAACCTCACAATCGTTGCTACATTTGAGCCCACTGCTATGATCTGGAAGTGACTCAAGGGCACTTAGCAACAACAACAATAAGGGCAGTGGTGTCACTAGAGGGGTGGTGTCTGTGTTTGTGCACCACATTCCCTGACATGGCTGGGGGGCTGGGGTGACACAAAAATGACCCCAGGGTCCTCAGTGGTGGCAGCCAATGCAGTATGGTTTCTAGGGCTTTGATGTCACCTGTAACTCAGGGACTCGATCATCACCTCTGACCCCTGTCCATCAGGTAGAGAGTCTCTGTTTTGGCCAATGAGAAAAGAAAAGAGCTTTCAGCAGTTGTGGGGGTGCCAGACCCCGATGTGCAGTACTTGGCCTTGCACCAGGGGAAGGGAGGGATATACATTTTGCATGGGGGGAGTGTGGGGTGTGTAAGACCACATCAATTACCCCACTGGGTAACACCAACCCTCGTAAAACCACTGAGTAAGGAGGAAAAGACATTCTGTAAAATCCATCAGATTACAAAGAGATAGTATGTTTTTAATTTCAAAAAGCCCGTAATCTTTATTTTGCTTGTTTTCATTGAAATTTGAAATTTTTAAAATTTTTATCATATCTTAACAGGCCTCTGATTATCTGGAAACTATAATTGAATAAAAAAAGCAAGAAGCTTAGAATTCATTCTGGTAATAACCAACTAAAGAGGTAGATTTCCTACAGGAGCTAGTTTGAATTTTGATGGTGACCAGGGAAGGTCTGTTTCCTTTTAAATAAAGTTAAGTTCATTGTTGATCAAACTCCTGGATTATACTGTCTAAGCAGAGTTCTTTCTACTAAACATGAACATCTACAACAAGAAAGAACATGTTCCTAACAAGGAAAATTTCCCTTTAGATATTTTCTGCCAAAATATTACTTACTTAAGACAATCTGTTACATTGTGTGTAATCTCCAATTCTGCAGATGGCTGTACTTCCTTCATACTGCCTCTCTACAATTTTCAGAGGTCCTACAGTACACGTCTGGGACTCTATGTGCCATAAAAATGGAAGGTGCTTTACAAACAATTTACTCTGGAGTTCTCCCAGAGGAAGTTATTAAAGTAATAATGCTATCAAAAGTAACAGACTACTCGGAATGTGAAATGTTAAAGGGATTTTCTGCCTAAAAAGAATACATTTAATTCCCTCTCAGTAACTTCTTTGACTACATATGGCAGATAGGTCCCATAAGATATCAACAAAAGCATTCATTGGATTTGGCAATTAAGAAGTTGCTGGTGCTGCTGTGGGTCTCTGGGTGACACAAGATATTTGTGACCACCTACTAATCTAAAGGTTCAAATCCACATGGTGAGGAAAAGGAGCATGGCGATACGATTCTGTACAGATTACTGCCAAGAAAACTCTATAAAACCATTCTACTCTGTAACACATACGGCTACAATGAGTTGGAATCATTTTGAAGGCCAAACAGCTTTATTAGTCTTTAGGCTACTTACTGGAAATTAAAACTACAATGAAAAATGACTGTACACTCACTGTTTTTGTTAGGTGACACTGAGGGGGTACTAACTGATAGTGACCCTATGCACAACAGAACTAAACACTGCCCAGTCCTGTGCCAACCTCACAATCATTGCTGCATTTGAGCCCACTGCTGCTGCCACTGTGCCAATCTATCTCATTCGGGGTCTTCCTCTTCTTCTCTGTCAATATCATGGATTGACAAGAATGCAGAGCAACTGGAATTCTCATATATTGCTGATGGGTATGCAAAATGGTACATTCACTTCAAAAAATAGTTTGGCAATTTTTTTATAAAGTTCAACAAACACTTATCACATAATAATGCGCTATAGTGTTGGAGAATAATATTAAAAGCATCATGGACTGCCAGAAGAACAAACAAATCTGTGTTGGAAATATAGCCAGAATGCTCCTTAGAACCAGTATGGTGAGACTTCATCTCTAATATATTGGACATGTCCCTGGAGAAGGACATCATAGTTAGCAAAGTAGAATGTCAGCTTAACAACAATTGTGAGGTTGGAACAGGACTGGGTAGTGTTTTGTTCAACTGTGCATAAGATTGCCATGAGTAGGATTCAACTAGATGGCACCTAACAATATAACATAACCAAGCAGTTTCTTCCTTACATGTATACCCAAGAACATAAAGATAGATATCTACAAAGTCTTTTATATAAATGAGTACAGTAAGATAAAACATGTTTTGCATATTTGGATAAGTAACTTATAATTTATAATGCAGATATTTCATCTTTTTATTCATCAAATTTTCATTTTTAACATTAAGGCAAAGTTACTGCATTTGAATATCTTTCACTTAAGAATTATAATAATTTAGAGTCATTAACTAAATTCTTCAATATCAATTGCTTTTCTTACTCTGTACAGAAAAAGTTCAGGAAGAGTCTGTTTGAATTAGGGAGGACTAATTTCTAATTCTGCAGTATTATTCTAAATACTAATTGCAAAAATAAATACTGAAAAAATTGATCCATTGAACTAAACCAAACCAAATCAAAGCAAACCACTGGCATCAAATTGAATCTGACTTAGAGTAACCCTATAAAGATGACTATAACTGTCCACCACATTGCCAATGCTGTAAATCTTTACAGAAACAGACTGCCACATCTTTCTTCCTTAGAGTGCCTCGTGGGTTTGAATCACTGACTTGTATGTTAGTAGCTGAGCACTTCAATATGTACCACCATGGATATTAAAATTGTTTTGCTGTTGCTGTTAAGTACTGTGGAGTTGCATCCACCTCATAGGAACCCTGTATAGAAGTTCCAAGAAGCAGCTGGTGGGTTTGAACCACCGACCTTGAGGTTCAAACTGAATTTGCACTGCCGTGAATTATCCTGCAGTGGCAGAAATTTGAGATTAAACAGCTATGAGAACTGACAAGTAGCCTGGCATTCTAAAACTAAAATTAAATATGACTGGATGATCAGAGCTCAACTAGAAGAAAGAGGAAAAAAAGAGTAATCTGATATAATTTGATGAACTTGACCTACACCTATGGATGCAGTAGCTCAAAAGAGGGAATAAACCTTTACAGCAAGGATCATTCCCACCCTATCCATACAGAGTAAACAGGGATGGGCAACGTGGACATTGGCTACCCAAAATGGGGGGTGGGGGGAAAGGGTCGCCTACAAAGGCAAGAAGTGACTAGCTTACAAGCTTTCATGAGGGAGCCTAGATCCAGAGGGCATGGAGGAAGGTAGAATCTCCACTGAGTATTATCCAATCTGTCTGGGCGGGGCTGATGAAAGGAGATGCGGATAGGTCTCTTGTGATACAATAGTGAATAATTGTTATCAGGTCTGACTGTAAGGACTGGATATGTAGCAAAAGAAGGGGAGTGATTGACTTTGCAATCTAGAAGCAGAGGTCCCTGGGACCATCAAGGGAGAAGAGTAGGGAGTGGAACCCTACCCAGATTAGCAGTGACGCCAGAGATAGAGGCAGAGACGATGAATGACATGGAGAGATGGAGCGGCTGGGGACTTTAGACCCAGATAGGGAGAAGAGCTGTATGCTGACGACCGGGGACAGGCTCCCAGTGTATACCCTTTGGTTGTTTGATGATGCATGGAGGGGACTGTAACCATGGCAATGAAATGATATATGATAGGATGTTGTAAAGCTAATGTTCTCCCATGTAAACTATCACGTAATTCACAATAAAACATTAAAAAAAAATTAAATATCATGAAGGCAAAACTTGATATCTAATACTTGTATAAAAAGTTAACTTCGAAATATATTTAAAAATAAATAATATACTTACAATTTGTTGCCATATGAAACTGAGAAGAAAGTGACTGAGAAACTGAGTTCCAAAAAGTGTATAATATTTCAGCCTGTCCATCCTGTGAACAACGAAAACGTATTCACTTACTTTAAAGAAATTATAATAGATAATATATAACATTGAAATTTTATTTAAACATAAGTAAACAAGAGTTTCTACAATATTAATAGCTAAATGTAAATATATTAATGACTCGATCATTTTTCCTGCTCATGTCTTGTTCTGTCTCTTATTTGCTGTGTAGTCATTTCACCATTCTATGCCCAATTCTTTATAATTGTTGTTGTTGTGAAGTGCCATCGAGTCGATTCCAACCTATAGTGACCCTGTATAGGGTTTCCAAGGAGCAGCTGGTTAGCTTGAACCGCCGACCTTGCAGTTCAAACAGCTTTGCAGTCTGACGCATTAACTCACAGAACCACACCAGGACTCCGTTCCTTATAATAGATCTTATAAAAGAGAGACACTAACACCTACATTATGGGATTCCTATAAGGATCAAATAAATCCAGAAAAGTAAATTCCAGGACCAATGACTGACATTATTATAAGCTCTTAATGAATGTTAGCTATTAGTATTATAATTAGTATTGCCTTTATATGTAGAAGTCAATCTATATGAACATGACAAAATGATGGACAAAGCATAGATCAAAAAGGACCACAGGAAATGAGAACTGCTGAAATCTAGCTATAGCTACAACAAAAATAAAAGCAGGGATTGCTGCTGTTCAGTTTAGCACAATGCTCCTAATGTTGTGTTTGAAACAGGGAGGACATTTTAAATAAGTGTTTGAAAAAGTAACCACTATTTAAAAAAAAAAAAAAAATTAGTTCAAGCATTGTTTGTTAAAAAGAAACAGAGTGCTTTAAATGTTTTTAAATTTTTATGTTGTTGAGAATATACACAACAAAATATACTGCATATACAAATAATTTCAAGTTTCTACATGCATAATTCAGTGGCATTAATTATAGTCATCAAGTTGCACAGTCATCTTCACTCATCGTTTTCTCCCCCATTAACAATGAGTTGCTCCTCCCAATTAAAATAAACTCACTGTCCCCTAAGCGTCCTATATTATCTTTCTAGTTGCTATTATCAGTTCGATCCCATATAGGTTGGTGCAGGACTGGGTACTGTCTTGTTCTGTTATGGGTAAGGTTGCTACGAGTTGGAATTGGCTCGACAGCACATAACAACAACAAAGATATCTCTAAAGGGAGTAACGTGCTCAAAGAAGACATTCTTTTTTACTTGTTGTTATTAAGGTGCTATCAAGTGGGTAACAACTTATAGCAACCTTATGTACAACAGAATGAAACACTGCCTAGTCCTGTACCAACATCACAATCCTTCACATGCTTGAGCCAACTGCTCTTGCCACTGTGCCAATCCATCTCATTAGGGGGTCTTCCTTTTTTTTTTTTTTTTTTTTTTTTTTTT